ATAAGCTAAAATGCACATGATATATATCATGTGCATTTTAGCTTATATTACTACCTTGAAATACTTATTCATTTAAATTCATCCTGCTGCACCGTTATATTCTACCATATTGTTTACTATCTCTCTTCAGGACGTTGTAAATATTATAATTAATTTTTCACTTTTTGGTACTTTTTTGTGTACCCTTATTGCATGCTTGTAGTATTTCTTGTTGGTTTGTTCTTTGATTTTTTTTGCGAGTCAAATCGGTTCTTCTCATTCTGAACATTTCATTGTACTGTTAACCCTGTGCTAAACTGCATATGACAAATAAACACAACTTCAATTAGGACAAAAACTCAACAAGACAGTAAAAATGACCTGAAATGATTGATCAGTCCTTTAAACTCACAACATGACTGATTAATTCACATGTGAACGTTCATGTTTGACCTCTGACCTTGTGTCTCGGTGTGGCTCTGGTTCGTCACAGGTGATGGTGCCACAGTCACATTTATCATGTTGATGGTGTTACTTGAATTCCTGCAGTCAAAGTTACACACTCAGAACTCAATCATGAAGCCTTACATGAACTCAGCACTGACTTACAGAACTGGACTGAAGTTCTGGTGGACTGGAACTGTCTGCGGACTCAGATACCAGCTGGGATGATGCACGTAACCAAAGAACAAGGGGCCAGGAGGTGAATATGGAGCATTCAGGACCTGTACTGGGATGCTAGGCTGAACCAACATATAGGGATATAAATCAAACCTGGGGTAAGCTGCTGGGGGGAGGAAGCACACGTTTGGCTGGTGATAGTCTTGTGGAGCGTAGGGGTGCCACAGGATCGGTGCTGGTTCATCCTGAACCCTCATGGCAGCAGGAGAAGAACTCCTGAGGTTCAGTGGAGATGGAACAGCTGGCAGTGGGTTCTGTGTTTGGACTGGAAATGGGTTCATCAGCATGGACGTGGACATGGGCAGCTCCACTGGTTGCTGGTTCTGTGGATCAGAATGAAGCATTCTCCAGGGAGGTGTTGCAGGAAAGTCCCCTCCTGTCTGGCGAGCCATAAGAGAGTGAAACGTTTCTCCTCTGAAGCTTTCATGGCTCGTTTGAAGAATCGGTGTGGGAGGGCCAGGCTGCCCCTCTGAAGCAGCTGAAATGAGTGGGAAGAAACAAGGACTGGGCAGAACTGCTGACTGAAAATAATCGACTCTGTCAGTCTGGTGAACGTCTGGTGGAGAACACTCTGGATCCATTGATGCTGCAGAAGCAGTCTATGGAAAATGAAAACTTGAATTAAAAACAAAATAAAATTAGCAATAGGCCTGTCATGATAACAAATTTTGCTGGGCGATTAATTGCGATAAACGATAATATTGTTTGAAGTTTGACAATAATTAGTAATTATAGTCAAATTTATGAAGAAATGTATGTTAATTTGTTTTGAGTGTAGTACCTTTTTTCGACCACTGGATGGCAGTGTAAGACTGTTTGAGCTGAAGGATGGATAGTGAGGGAGTGAGCAGCATGTATCTTTAAGAAAAATGGGAGGGAGGCCCTTGACGTGACTGAGCTGTCTCTCTTCAATTCTCAAAATGGCAGCTGCTCGGTGTGGTTTGAGCTCTTTATTATAGCATTTTTCACACAAAGCTTTTAATAAAAAAAATCAGTAAACAAGTTCTCAGCTTCTTTTTGCAGAGAAAAACAACTTTTTACATGAAGGCACGGGTTTCAACCGTGAATTTTGGAGCTTCGACAAGATGGAGGTTTTTTCCCGAGGTTGGCCTGTTAGCTTAGCTCGTAGCTTAGCTTCTCAGTTTAGCTGCTTTTAACGATGCAAAAACATGAGTTTGGACGTTAAAATTGATTTTAAAGAGAAAGGGAGGATTCAGTGAAGAGCACCAGAGTTGAGCTTTTTGTCATCCATTGTCTACAGTACGAAGAGAGAGACACGAAGAAATAATAAAGCCGATAAATGAAAATGACGTTGATAATCTTCATTTATCGTGCGATTGATTTATTATTTATCACGACAGGCCTAATGAGCAATTCCTCATTTTCCTTCACACCTAAAACAAACAATCAAAATGTGAACATCCTCTAAACATCTAGAGCAGGTAATAAAACCAGGAAATGTTTCTTTAACAGATTCTGAAGAGACTGTCTTTAATGTAGAACATAAAAAAATCAATCTGTGAACAATTTACTCCTGTTTAGTTTATATCATACAATATTTAATATAATCTTTTTGTTGATTGTAATTATTTTTGTGTATGTTCACATTCTTCCTAAATGAATGGGCAGAGAGACAAAATGACAATCGGTAGCTCTGAAGATTAGCTGCACGAGACCATTCTTGGCCTTTTTGTGCTTGTTCATCCAGTCTGGGTGTTGGTTGAAACATTTGTATGAAACAGGAGGATAGACTTTTTAATTCGCGGTCATCCTTGAAGAGCATCAAAATCTAAATTGATTTAATAACAGTAATTTTAATGAATCTGAACCCCTCCACCACAGACTGGAAAAGATGCTCTGTGAGCCGGAAATGGCCCACAGACCAGCACTTGGTGTACAAATATAGACTATCTCCTGAGTAATTTACAATCTTTACTTTTCATTTAGGTTTTTCCACTTTATTTTTTGTGAAGAAATGAACACATACATTACTTTGTAGCAATTTAAAATAAACAGATTGAACATTTTCTTACTGGATGTTTGTAAACAGAGGCTTATATTCAATTAAATTCAATTCAATTCAAAAATACTTTATTAATCCCAAAGGGAAATTATTTTTTGTTGTAACTCGTTATCCTCATTTCATTAAGAGATGTTATAGATACTGATGGCTGTAGGCAGGAAGGATCTCTTGTAAAGGTCCATCCCACAGTGGATCCTAAGAAACTGGCTGCAGATGCTGTCTGATCCGTCTACCCAGACTCGACTGGCCTCTTGGTTCCCCCGGGCTGTAGAACCGCCCGAATGCCGGGCAGAACTCCTCCTGGAGTGATGGCCACTCCTCCCAGCAGTCTGCCGAGCTCCTCGTCACTGCGGACAGCCAACTGTAGGTGCCGAGGGACGATCCTGTCCTTCCGCTGTCATGAGCCGTGTTTCCTGCTAGTTCCAGGATCTCAGTGGTCAGGCACTCGAGCACAGCTGGCAGGTAGATGAGAATGCATCCACAGAACATCCTTTTCAACTCATCTGAGATTTGGGGATGTAGTTGAGATATTATTTGAGCTTTTGAGATGTTAATCAGCTGCTGTTGGTTGTAGAAAACTGCCTTGTTGCCATGGTAACGCATAATAACAAATGTCCAAAACTAAAAAAGTTTCAGTAAAAATCCTTCCAGCTGCAAAGCATCCGATACCAGAGGAAACAATCATCCAAAAAAAATGTGATTTACATCCAGAAAAAGAGGAATTAAAGTTTCCAAAAGCAAAATCTCAGAATGAAAAGAATGAAAGTAACAGAGCTGCTCCAACATGCAGCCACCTTGAGCAGCGCAATTCTAGAACTGCCGACAAAACACACACACACACACACACACACACACATATATATATATATATATATAGTAGTTTTAAAATTACTTTACATTAAATACATTTCTTTAATTTAGGGTCAAATGTATTGGATATTCCCTCAATAGAGCAAACAGTTGTCTGCCTGCATGTAAGCATAGAAACAATATTTATTTTGCTGCTTATGTAAAGTTGTAAATTCCTTATAAATTAAGCCTCAGTACTTCTTCTGTCAGTAGATACTCATTTTGTTTGTAAAGTGAGCTGATGAATAACTACAGTCGTACATATGAAACAAGTATTAGCTCTAAAAGGCAAAAACTTATTATAGTTTAATTATTTTGTTGAACTTACCTTTACTGTTTGCAATGAAAAGTTTTCAGGTAATGATGCTGAAATTTTTGTTCATACTTTATTTAAAGTCAAAAGTAAACAGAATTCAAGTTTAGAGTTTTAGCATTGCAGCTGAACATTCCATAAATCCCATGTATACAGTTACAGTAAATATCAAATTAAAACTTGTTTATTTGATTTTTCTCTCTCGCCATTTTACAGTTGGCCTACAGCAACCATCACAGATTGTCCAGTTATCAGCATTTTATTTTCAAGCAGACAAACAGCAAGTTAATGTAAACAAAAATTTGCATAGATAAACAAGGAAAATTTATTAATGCAGCCGTTGAGCTCTTTAAATACTTTAAAACTATTTTATGTCAAACAATAGCTTTTTTGGTTGCTTTTAATAGTTTTTTTGTTTAAACCAAAACATGTTTTTACAGGTAACTCAACTTCCCAAGATGCTGTGCGGCATAGCGGCAGTGTTTTGAACCGGATATCCGCTTTCTTTTAGTAGACCTGTTGAACATTCGTTGCACGTGGATTTGCTCAGAAAAAAAGGCCTTGCTTTTATTTACTGTAATAAAGTCGGTTTATCGTAATTTTTACTTTGAAAGCTTAAATCCGAGCTTCTGCTGCGATGTTTCTGCAGTTTTACCTCAATGAGAACGGAGACAGAGTCTACACTCTGAAGGTAACGTTAGCCCTGTGTTTACGTTAGCTTTAGCGTGCTAGCATTTTGTCAGTCACAGCTTCATTTGACGAATATAGATTGTGTTGACCATAGACATATGTGGTGTCTGGCTACTTACAAGTAACGTTTTATAGTGTTAAAACTTGTACATATAGCCACTTAAAGTTATTTAGCACATTTAAAACCAATCCAATGAGGTGACTAAAGTCATTTATGATTTGATTGTAAGAAACTTAAGTCACATGTCCTGATGCACGCTTAATAATCCAGGTAGAAAAATCTAAAAAAGTTAAATTTGGTCCTCTGGATATTCTTTAAACAAAAAAATTGTAGAAACGTTTCATCTTTCATCCGAAAGACTTCCTCAGTCTGAGGTGCTGTATTCAGCTCAGTCTCTTAAATAGCACCGTCTCAGGGTGGATCAACCAGTTTGCTGCTGACAACCAAAACCAGCTGTTCACATGGTCAAGAAGGACCATCAGCCTAACAATGGATCATTAGCACACTGATGGCTGTTTACTATTCACAGAGGGCCGAGTGATACTAGCAATCACAGCATTGTAAGAGGGGGACAATTGAACACGGAGGCCTCCACCCCTGTTTAACGATGGGCGATTTCTTTTCACAAAGATGGCCTCCTTTACTCCTCTCTCAAACCATCGTTCCTCTCTGTCCAGGATGTGAACATCTTCATCCCTGAAAGAGTGACCGCTGGCCTGGAGATGAGTGTAGACCGCAGAGTCCTGGCCTGATGATGTTGATCTTCTGTGCTGGGCCATCCTTTTGTTACTTTAGTCACCTCAATTAAATTTTGAATTAAAATAGTAAAACTGAAATTTGAATAATAAAAAGACCAGCAAAAGTAGACATGTTTATTAAAATCTAATGTTTTGCTTAAATTAAAAGAGTTATTGATTTCAAGCACTAATTTCAAGTAATCAATTTGATATTTTAAATGTAAAAGCATGGAGTTGCGATTAGTTTATTGTTTTCTAATTTGAAAGCCTTTGTCATTTAATGTTAATATATTTAAGCAATTAAAAAAAATGTGTTTTTGATTTGATGTGGCTTAGCATACCAAAAGCTTAAGGGTTCAATGATTTATTTCCTCAAAATGTTGGTTTTATAATGTAAAAATAAATATAAAAAACATACAATGAAGCAACAAATTTGCTAAACATTAAAATAGTGCTAATAAAATAGGCAACTTTCAAAATGTGTTACAAACAGAAGTTTTTAATACTTAAATGAACTGAAATTACATTGTTATATTAAAGTGCATTCTGTTAGTTATTGTTTGGTAAAACTTGCATGTAAGAAGGGTTCTTGCCAGTTTTTAATTTTTATTTTTGAACCATTTCAACATTTTATCTCAAGCTTGTGCACTTTCTCAACTCTTAGTGTTTTTCTTCCACATCTTTGCTTCCAACAGAAAGTCAATCCTGATGGGCAGCCCACCAGCTCGGCCCACCCTGCTCGTTTCTCTCCTGATGACAAGTTCTCTAGACACCGTGTGCTGTTGAAGAAACGCTTCGGCATCCTGCTCACCCAGCAGCCCAGACCTGTTCTGTGAGGGTGGGGGATGATGGTGGGAAGACGAGAGAGGCTGGAGACCTGGAGAAGACAGGATGGAGGAGAACAGCTCAAAGATGAAGAGGAGAAAACCTCAAGCCTGGATTTAAAAAGACTGTTCTGGATCAGCAGGAGTTTGTGTGATTTTTCTCTTAAATAAGTTCTAGGTTTTTCTTGAGGTAATGTAATTTCTCTGCTAATGTGGTTATGATTTGTACTCGTTAGTTCCTATGTGTGTTTGGTATCCTAACTAAATGACAACAAAACCAAGATTATGTGAAAATGAAATTCAGATGTACAAGTAAAGAATGCTAAAAGTGGTGTTGCCCAAAAACAGCTCAAGCAATTCATGTCTAAAAAGGCATTTTGTATTTATTGTTTAATGTTTTTATTAGGCCTTTTTCTATTTGTTCCTCATCATTTTCATCCACTTTTTCCACTGACATTGGCTATAAAAACTAACGATTTTTGTTAACTGGAGTGCCTCTATATTTCAAAACTGAAACTCAGCTAAAGATTTTGTGGACAGATAAAAAATATTTTGAAGATGATGTACGATTAGTTTTTTTTATTTTTTTTT